TCTAACTTGCAGCTGAAAATGTTTTAAGAACAGTAGGGCATAATGTTCTAACAATGTTATCAAAAACATTTTAAGAATGTTTTTAGAGAACGTTATCCTACCTTTCAGAAGAACATTCTGGGAACCAAAATAAAAGCTTCCCGCTGAAAACGTTTTAAGAGCAGTAGGGCATAATGTTCTAACAATGTTATCACCAAACATTTTAAGAATGTTTTTAGAGAACGTTATCCTACCTTTCAGAAGAACGTTCTGGGAACCAAACTAAAACTTCCCGCTGAAAACCTTCCTAGAACAATGACTGTAACATTCTCAGAATATTTTTAGAACCAACATTTTTTAGCTGGGATGACGTGTGATTAATTTTGTAATTCCTTGCTTTCCAGAGAACACACCACTGAATACCCTGATCAGCTGGTTACAAATTAATAGAAGAATGTCAATAATGCCTGAGCATTGTGTTACCTTTTAACCATGCGCTTCAAAGACAAATATTACATTCCTGTACCTTTAGTTGTGTCTTTGCCTTGTTGTGTCGTGTTGCTTCCCGGCTTCCCTCTTTTCTTTCTTTCTCTCTCATTTTCTTTCTCTCCTGTTGACTCTGATGCCCAGGCTTCCGCTTAATTGGTATTTCTGTTGAGCTTCTCCGAGTGTGAAACAACAGAGCCTCACACCTCAAATACAGTATTTTTTCATTATTTTGCACACAGTTGTCTGACAGCAGGAAACTCTATTAGCCGAGCTGAATTAAAGGGTGACTAGCAATCGAATTAGGTCTAATTGGGGGCTGATAGTACAGCCTTCAGAGGTGACCTGTTCTGACTCCGGCTACCGCTACATCCTCACACCCCTGGACGCCTTCTTCCTCCCCGCACGAGGTCTGGGTTGTGAGTCTAACTTCTGCAATGACGTAATAATTAAATTGTTACATTATGCAGCACAACAATAGACATCTATTCATAGTGATGCGACGGAGCAGAGTGGGCTGTGAGAGGTGGCAGAGGCTAATTCAGCGAGGCCTTCTCACAAAGACATGGACAATGTCCAGGGTAAAGAGCTGTTGTCTCAGGGCCGAGACCACCCCAGCAAACCTTCACTCACTCACACACAATGGACACTGGTGGCCTCTTGGTCGACACTTTTTAAAGTAATTCACTTTTCATAGAAGGTGTTAAACACATGTCTTTAAAATGTGCAGTGTGAATCCATCATTATTTGTACAACCTCACCTACAAACTTGTATTAACATTTCCTTGAAGAAACACTCTTCTAGTTTGCCTCTGTTTCTGCAATATAATGATGTGTGCTCTTCTATTAGTACTCCGCATTAATCTTTGTGACTATGTGAACCCATTTTAACTGTTCGAACTCACTTTCTAACAGTTAATCAGAATCAAGTTTATTGCCAGGTACGTTTACACATACAAGGAGTTTGCTTTGATATCTGGGGCCTCATTTATAAACGGTGCGTACACACAAAAGATGGCGTACGCCAGTTTCTACGCACTGTTTGCGATTTATAAAAAACTAACTTGACGGGAAAATGTGCGGTCCTCCACTCTGACCCATGCGTACGCACTAAGCACAAAAACGGGAGAGACGAGAAACTGCGACACCGTTGGCAGAAGGAAGAATGGAGAGAAATATGTGGAAATAATACCATAAATAAAATGTTACCTCTCATNAATGCTTTTTTCTTTTTTTCTCTTAATGCATTGCATAAAGATCGGATAGGGAAAAATCGGTATCGGCAAATTGTCAAAATCAAATGATCGGAATCGGATCGGGAGCAAAAAAAGGTGATCGGGACATCCCTATTCTCAAAGAGCCGGGGATATCAGTACCACATTTTGTGAGAATATCCTACAGTTATCCAGACATAAGACTAAAAAAGGAAAATAAATAACCTTCATGATGGAGTTTGAAGAAAACACAAGGGACCACTAAGGTCACTAGGATTCATCCTGTAGAATGTCTGAACAAAATTCCATGGTATTTCATCTTAGCATTGTAAGACCTAGCAACATAAACACCTGAAGAGTCATAGATCAAATGCAACATTTTTTGTTTTAATTTTTCTGTAAAATAATAAAAATCAGATGCATCTGTAGAACTGCTGTTCCAGGTCGTTCTCCAGGAGCCAGGCTTTGCCGCATGGGAACATCCTTTGCACACAGCCAGTTATGAAGTGTCAGAAGCCGTGATGAATAACTCTAATGATCAAGTGTGTGTTCTGGGTCACAGCAGTGAAGAACAGAGTGCAACAAGCCAACAGCTTGTCCTTGCCGTCAGCGCTGCAGCAAAGTAAAAGCCACACAGGCTTACGTGTTAACACACCTGACAAAACGCTCCCTTGCTGATGGAACGCTAAAAGCCCCTCTAAGCAGACCAGAGTTTTCCTCTCGTGCAGGTGACTGCCGGCTGCCACTGTCGGCTCCAATCACGCCGCCTTCTGTACCACGCTGTTCCTCAAACGCTCAAACCCAGCGAGGCTTTTCTCTCACCACCTCTCTCCTCCCCTGTTGTTTTATTCATAGGGCTCGGGTTCATTTGCCAAGTCCTCTGTTGTAGATTTAAGAAGACAAACAGCGGTACAAATCCACCAGAACAGTGTTATACTAAATGACATTTTGCTCTTCCGCCTGGCTAATCGTAAAGAAAACAGTGGCGGATCAGCGCTTAAACCTTGTGTCTTCGGGCAGATATCATGCTCAGTATCGCGGAGGGATCCTTTGAAGTGTTTGTTGTCTTCCAGAGGGCCCCTCGAGGAAATTCTTATACACACACTCACACTTGATCAGACACACACGTATGCATGCTTTTACACACAAGCAAGCACCCTGAGAGTTAATGGAAGGGAAGGTATTAAACAACATGCTCCTGTGTGTATCACTGGTTGCGTATCCCTCTGCCGCTTTAGCACTGCTATGCTAATGTCTCAGCAACAGGATAACCTGAGAGAGCCAATAAAAGCATATTAGGCAAGCACTAACACACACTGTTTGGCACACACACACATAGCAGGAAGGGCAGCAGTAAAAGTATATGTGACAGGTTAATGCACATGCACAGATAAACTCATGATATGTGTAGATTACAGAACACAAGGCAACACACACATACGATGTATAGCTTGAGGCAAGATGCTATAAAAACATTGGAAAAGAAGAGGCTCGCCAAGAAGAGAGCTAACAAAGGCGGGAAGAGAGAACTGTGGGATGGCCCGTTTCTCTTGGGTGAGACTCAACTCTGCAGATTTAGAACAAGGTATCGCTCCAAGAAGCGATATTAAAAATTGTTTTTAGTCATGGTCAGCCAATTAGTTGTTATTCCTTGAGTCACATCTGAATAACTGCCATGCGCCTACTCATAGTTGAATATTTAGCCTTAATGACAGATATTGTTCAAAAAAGACGTCTGAAAATACTCTGTAAAAGCCTAACCTTGCCAACATTGAATGAGAGCTGGCAGGCACTAGCAGCCACACTTTGTGCTGTTACTGTATACTCTTGACTGAACTGATAACAAGCTCAACAGTATGAAGTTAAATGGTTGTGAATTACATTTAAATTATGTGGATTTAGAAAATACACTCCTGTGCAAAATCTTAAGCATGCTTGATGCAAACATGATGCATGCTTGCATCAAGAATGCCTCAACGAAATTTCGAAGTTATCAACAACAACAGTGGGGCTACCCACTACTGAGTTTATTTTTGACACTTTAAGTTCTGTTTATAAAAAAAGGTCTTAAGATTTTGTTCAGGAGTGTATGAAAACTTGGCTAAGTTGACGCCAAAGTCACCTTAATGACTTGGAGCATGGGTTTGGTTGTGTTTCTCCAACAAACTGGCAACTATTTCTTCTTAAGAGAAAGCACTGTCTCATTCTGTCAGCCTCTGACTCACTGACAGAAACAACTTCCTTTCCCCTGTTGCTTGTCTGTGGGCACTCTAAACTGAGCAGCATCACGACGGTCACGCATGACGTGTCCAATAAAGAGACGCTGGTCAGGTTGACACTCCTGTCAGTAGCCAGCTGTTGCTCGACTGCGTCTGCGTATTTTTGCTCTTGTTCGTCTCAGGCTTGTTTTGACAGCAACATTGAAAGCTTGCATGTCTTCTGACTCTTTATCCATCCATCCATCCGAGCAGTCATCTATCTTTCCATCCATCTAATCATTACAGTTATTTAATGAGATGGCACCGAACATCAAGGTTCATTCGCTGTGTGCAGATAAACCCAGATTTAATTAGGCCCAATCGCTGATGATGCTTGCCCTTGCTGGCAAATGCACTGGCTTCACAAAATAATGAAACATTTACATTTAGCCATGTAACCTATGTCTAATTAGTCAGTTGGGTTTCTTAGTTTTTTTACAACAAAGTTCAGCAAAATGACAAACAGATGTATTGCCAATTATCATGTATTCTGAACAGCTCATTATTCCTTCATTTGTTTTCCCCATCATCTATTTAGTTTTTGGCCCTCCGATTTGTACAATTGAGCTTGTGTAGCGGAGCTGAGCGTCGGAGCTGGCAGGACCTGGCAGGACCTGAATGCCCCTCCTTGTGTCTTGACTGGCTCAGCAGTTGCACCTCCAGCCAGTTGAAATCAATGGGGGCAGTGGGCAAATGTGGCTCTGTGTGGAGCAGATGGCAGAAGAATGGCCCTTCCTCCTACTGTGGTGCGCTCAGCAACATACAAATGGGTCAAATCTCACCACCGGTCACATAATATCATGGAGCCAGGGCTCTGGTGTCGTGGGCTTTTGCGGCAAGGGAAATGGGCTGTCGTTGAACATATTTTCCTCAGATCTTGAGTTTGATTACTAATCGCTTGATAAATACTTGAAATCTAAGTAGCAGCTGGTGTCCAGTGCAATTACTGTATCAAGGGGAAAATATAACCCATACCACTTAGAAGTGGAGTCAACAAAGAATTACAGTACCTGTACCTTGTAAATTGTCATCTCATGTCTATCCATGAGGTGCAAAACAAGAGCAGGTGGCTGGCTTTGGTGAACATAAAATAGAACATGGTTAGTGTTCCCAGTGTAAAGTAGAAGGCAATCTGAGATTGCAGACATGCGTCATGGACAATGGTGCATTCATGTGCTCCTCAGATGTTCCCATTTCCTAATTCTGCAAAGGTCAGAACTCGGGTGTATTTATGGACCTGAAGTCATCATTTGAAAACAGCATATATGCTCCAAAGATGGTGTGTTTCATTTTATTTCTCAACGTGTTACAACACAATTACAGCTGTTTATGAGTTGTTATCCAAACTTCACGGAAGTTGACCAGGTTATTTCCCAGTCAGGAAGTTATTTATACAATTATTCCAACATTACATGGATTTCGGACAAATGCTCCATCACGCAGTGTTAACCATAACTTTCATAACCGAAACATAAAGTGTATCCGAACGGGAAATCTGATCCACTCAAAAAAGCTATTTGGTTTCTTGGCTCATTATACATCCTTGCTTCTAGTCTTAATACTAATCTCATTTTAGTACATAGCTTTACTTAAATAAAAAGTTAAATAGATGGTTAGGCAAAATAGATTCAATGTGTTATTTAGTGAGTTTTAGAAGTGCTAGAATGCAATTTGTTTAACTTTAGACAGAGCCAAGCTAACTTTGTCCAGTCTTCATGCTAAGCGAAACTATTTGCACAGACACGAGAGTGGTATCAACCCTTTGTTACTTTTAGTAAGAAAGTGAATACTTTATTTTGCTAATCTTATGAACAACATTTGCAACACTTCAGGAAGTTGTTGAATGTCACTTATCAATAATTATTCCCGCATCTAAATTATTCAGATGTATTTCTTGTACTTGCTTTTGTATATACTCAGACAAGTTCAGGGTACTATTAGTCCACCCTTGACCTTTCTTTGGCCTGCATTGTAAATAAAAATCAATATTTACAAGTAATATGAAGTAGAATAGTGTTAACTTTTGTTATATCTGTTTAGGATTTATGTCTTAATCACTGCACTTCGTCTATATTTCTTGAACCACGCATTAGTGTCAGCCTTTCAGTGGTGAAAGGATATCTGCCAGCACGACTGTCACATATTCACCTTCATATTTTTTTGTTGAGATGTATATTACTTATTCCTTCACTCCTCTTCCTCCTTCACTTCGACTCCCTGTTTCAATGCAGTCATCTCACTGTCCCTGTGTTTCAGTTTTTTTCTAGGTTTCTCCCGGTGTCTTGCCTCTCTCATCACATCCCTTACTTTCCTCTCGCTGCTTTCTTCCCCTCATCTCTGCAGTCGCTTGTCTGCCACAGCAACATGTGGCAGGTGGTGAGGGAAAAGAAAGAGTGAGGCAGGAAAAAAGCACACTGACAAAAGCTCCTTCCCCCGAGCTTGCCCGTAGCTGCAACAAAAAAAAAATACATCAATTACTTCCGTGATTGAATAATGTTAGCACAACTCTGAGGATGTTGCCTCTGTTGAGATGAATGGTGCAGCCCGTAGAATGTTGTGTCGACTTGTGTTTGTTTTGCGCATACAGCCTCACAACCAGTAATTATAGCAACCTGTCGCTGTCTGGCATGGACTGCCAATCAAATCTTGAGAGAGTTATGAACTACAACACAGCAACATCTGTCTAGCAACGGTAGAATCTGATTCGGAGTACAGACTCTAGGAGCTCCAGTTTCACCCAAGAGATAAGCTGACAACTGTGTCAGCAGAATGAGGACAATAGCATCACATGACGTTCCTCTGGTACTCTTTTTGGCAATGTGCAGTCAAGGGTACAGAAATAGTTGTTTATTGAAGGTCATATACAGAACTGTACTAGTAACAAAAAAAACACCAAAACAGTCAAAATAACACATGACACAAAACACCAGAGTCTGTTCATTCTCTTAAAGAAGAATGACCTAAACAAGACTGGAACAAAGTGTATGTACCAGATGTAAATGAAGCCGAATCACTTCTACATATTCTATCAGGGCTGTATGAAAAACATTGTCCTCGTGTAAAATAGATTTTGAAACAAAAATATGCTGAAAAACCATGGATCACTAAGGGAATATTAAATGCATATAAAACGAAAAATAAATTATATAAAGACTTCTTGAAGAATAGATCAGTAGAGGCTGAACAAAAATACAAGACATACAAAAACAAACTAACAAAGATAATACGATGTAGCAAAATGGATCATTACAAGAAATGATTGGAGGATAACATTAAAAACACATGGAATGTATTAATTATCATTATTAATAAAGGAAATGGAAAGGCACAATACCCAAACAGTTTTCTGTCAAAACATAACACAATAATCTATGACATGACCTCAGTTGCTGAAGAATTCAATAAGTACTTTGTCAATGTTGGTCCCTGTTTAGCTGGGGAAATTCCAAATACCGGTAGTAGTGAAGGTGTAGAAAGTAAAGATATATATGTGAAGGAAACTATATTCTTAAGGGGGGCTGATGAAAATTAAATTATTGACACGGTTAAAAAACTTTAGAGTAAAAGGTCTACAAACCGTCATGATATTGACATGTATACAGTTAAAAACATTATCAAATGTATAGCCAAACCACTAACTCACGTCTGTAATCAGCCAATACAAACCGGTGTATTTCCAAATAAAATGAAAACTGCTAAAGTCATACCAATACATACATCTGGAGATAAACATGTACTGTCAAACTATAGACCAATTTCATTGCTCTCATAGTTTTGTAAAATACTGGAAAAAATCTACTATACAAGACAAAATGACTTCATCACCAAACATAATACTCTNTGACGTGGTTGAAATCTTGTCTGCAGAAAACAAAAAACTGAAACAAGCGGTATCAGTGACTGTGTGTTTGATGTGGCTCTTTGCAGTAACATAGAAAAAATGTGGCTCTTAACCTCTGACTGGTTGGCCACCCCTGTTCTAGGGGGAGTCCCCCCAAACTCTTCGTGCCATTTCGTCCGCGCGCATTTTTCAGGGCAACCTCTATTGGGCTCAGGGCCCTCTGTAAATTAGCCTAGATGGCCCACAGGGCCATCTCCCAAAATCCTTAATGTCATGCACTGTAGTAGTGAATGAATGTGTATTAAGAAGAGAAAATAAAGTAAAAGCATTTTGAAAAGCAGCCGAATATTTTAATTGCAAACTTTTGAAAAAAAAAAAAACGTCAACAATAATGTCTAAAATATGTGGAACATGTGAAGTCAGTATGAAGTCTCCATCAGACGGAAAATAATAGGCTGAGACAGTCTGTTAAACTCCAGTCTGTGTGTTTGTGTTTGAGGTGACGACGCTATCAAACACCNATGTTCCATAACTTCTATAACTGCAAATGATGTGGTTCTGTTAGCTCTGAAACCATATTGTTGTTCAAAATGACTTCATCACCAAACATAATACTCTATGAACAACAATATGGTTTCAGAGCTAACAGAACCACATCATTTGCAGTTATAGAAGTTATGGAACATGTTACTAAGGCAATAGAAAAGAAAGAATATACAATAGGGATATTTCTGGACCTTAAAAAAGCATTTGACATGGTTGACCATGAATTATTAATTCAAAAACTACAGAGATATGGCATTAGAGCTACCTACATAACAGGGAACAGTACGTTGAACTACAAAGCCATAACTACTGCAAAGCCACAACTACTGCAGGTCACATGTGGGGTGCCTCAGGGCTCAGTCTTGGGGCCATTATTATTTATTCTGTATATTAACAATATATGTGAAGTATCAAAAAC